CTATTGGTTGATGCCCTGCATTCCATTGTGATGACTCATGCCCAGACGTGGTAAACACGGCACACTAACACAGTAATACATTTGCCATAACACAGACCAAAAAACTCAAATAAAACCATTCTAAAAAGCCTGTATCACAAAAATTTAAAAAACGACCTAGGGGTATTTGCCACTGTACCTCCATACCAAATTTCAGGACCTTAGGCCCTAAAATGAAGAAGCTGAATCCATTTAAAGATATGGCAGGAGGAGGAGGAGAAGGAGGAGGAGAAGAAACATCAGAAAAAGCAATATGGTTTCACCACACCACTTCGTGGTGTGGTGAACCCATAAAAAAAATTGTTTTCTCTTTTGCCTCTGTCAAGCTCTTCACAGAAATATATCTAGCAGTATGTACCTAGGTAGTGATACTAGTGAATGCATAGTTCATTTGTTTGTCCCTCAGGCCCTTGAAGGAAAACCAGACCAAAAAGACAAATCATCTGCTGTCTCGCCTGGAAAACCATCCATCCTGGCCAAACCCATGAGAGTAAGTTATTATCTATCCTCTAAGTCTTCTTTGCAAAAATGACCTGTGATGATTGCTGTTTTTTCTTATTTTAGGAAAGGCAAATTTTATGTCTTGCAGAGTACTTTAGCTCTTGAAATTACAGACTGCCATTGCTTTTCTGGGTGTCTATAGGAAGTTTGAAATTTGTATAGACAAGTCCTCTCATACAGATACAGAATTGGTGTAGACCCAACACTTATTTTGCTGTGTGCGCTATTTCAGTACCGCTATGGGTCCTTTCTGAAGAAGGATAAGGCCAGCCTGGAGCGGCTTGCCTCTGCCAAAGTGGTGGATCCCAACGGTCCTCGTCACTCCAAGAACTTCATCTTCAAGAGAGTCTCTCCAGACAAACCCAAGCCAACAACAAAACGACCACAGGTAAGGAACTTTCCCCTAATTGTTAATGATATCATTGGAAGGAGACCGTAGTGATAAGTTTTGGGTTGGTGTTGGAGAATCGTCTACGACGAATGGATCCACCAGTGTTAGTGTTGCGTATAAAACATGGAAAAGATGTCTTCAGATGTTTCCACACATCCTTGCCCAAACATCCAGTATAAACAAATATCACCCTGTTGCCTCCCCTGTTGCCTCCAGGTGAACAGGTCCATGAGCCAGGTGGTGACACCCAGCGCTAAACGACCAGACTGGACCGCAGCCAGAGTGAGGACAGCAACAGCATCTTCACCATGCTGTACTGAGCAGCACCCCGCCTATGCTGTCAAGGACAGCAATCCATCACGGAAGGCTGGATAGCACCCCCACTGTGCTGTAAACAGCCTCCTGTACCAAACTGTCTGCAAGAGCACTGTCTGTACTTGGAGACGCTTCTCATTCATGGTTCGTTAGTTGTAATGAGGAGTCCTTTTAATAATGAACTTGGAAGATATTATTCGACAATCTGAATGATTGTCACAGAGAGCAAACAATGCGGGATGATCAGCTTCATAAGATGTAAAATTAACCATTGGGAACGCTCATAACTTGCACAGCTAGCAGAATTGCTGGGGATGATTTGGCACTGTATCTTTTTAAGAATTGTTTTTCACAAGGATTAGAAAATCAATAAAACCTCAACATGATTTTCTCCTTACATCATACAGTAACATGTATTTAAGATAATGCTATTGCCAGTATTGGCACCATAGATGTACAGGGTTTATTTCCTTCAAGCCTGGAATTTGGTGTTGGAGAACCATAAATTTAGGTTGCGTTCATGGGTGATTTGATTTTAACTTATGAGGTATTTTGAAGTAAAATTTGCACAAATAAGAAAATCCATACTCCATTATTCCAATGAAATGCCCACTCGACATCCTACAAATTCATTGGAATGTCCTGGTAACTAGATCTAATATAAGCTTTGATTCAGCTGCCATATATGTATACAACATTGCCAAGTGCCAATGATTTATAGTTTAGTCTTGAAGAGAATTGTGTTCTGTTATTGTTCATACAATCAAGAACATCATTATCATGTAACTATTGTATGTTTTTAGGTGGAAACCGGAGTGTGAAAAAGGTGAATGACAACATGAATGATAACAAAAAGCTAGGGAAAATTAAAACCTTTGTATTATGTTGTACTTTACACAAATCTATATAAGTACAATTATTCCCAATAAAGACAAACAGCATTACAAGCTATCTCCACCAATGGTTTGCATAGTTCTTATGAGAGAAAAAGAAATGTACCTATAATACTACTAGTACAGACACTGTAAATACTTAACAACTCTAGCACATCCAGTTAAAAGGTACACGGTGACTGGACTCCCTGCTTCAGTTAGGGATTATTACTGAGAACTCTGAAAGACATTGTAGTAACTTTTCTTACACTTCATCTTGTTGAATTTTAAACTGCTTTATGTATCCCCAAATACTCCAGTAAACACAGCATTCACTGTCCCCATTACAGGGTGGTGCTATCACAACATACACATTCACAGCTAATATCTTACACAATATCACTAACTCAGTTACTGGCCATATTATCACTGTATGCTTGTAAGCACAAGTGCAATGCACATCTAGGCCTTTAAAATCACGGAGGTAAGCGGTTAAAAATGTTTCATGCACTTAAGTAAAATGACCCAATGAAAGCATCCCGTTCGATGTGTTTTTGAGGTAAAAACTGCACATCCTGGTTCTGCCGTCATGTGGCTCTGTGGACGATATCTGAGGTGATGAGAGTAAGGCTCAGGATACACAGGCACATTCCACCACCAGCTATCACAGCCGCCTGGGAAGGGGGCAAGTATTGAACATTCAGAAATTATCAACTTGTACAAGAAATGAAGACATTATGAAATAGCAGAATGATAATCATAGACCATTTTTCCTATGTCAAGTTTACAGCATACAAGATCCACACACACCCGGGTGGAGCTTCAAACAAGAATCATATCTGATCTTAACCACTATTTTTGCATAGCCAAAAAAGAGAAGAATGTACCAGTATTTTGTGCATAGCAAATCTTCGTTCACTGCTGACTTTGAGGTAGAACAGGCCAGGCAGGATGAACACCAGGAAGGTGGAGGAGGTCGCTCCTGCAAGGAACAACAACATGGTGCTCAGACATCAGATTGGATCATCACTCTGTACACTCACTTCATCCAACAACAGTATCTTATGATGAAAGAAAAAATGTATCTCTGATCCAGGAGTTAATATGTCTAGTTTACCAAATAATTAGCCTCAAATTTGACTGCCAGTTTGCTCAGCTTTGCATACAAAAGGTTGAGTACCGGGACAGTAGTCCTTCAGACTGAGAAAATGTAAAAATAAAGATCAAACACTACTAACTACAGCTCAACAATTGACAACACCACACAGCACCCACCTGCCACTCCAAAGACATCCTTGATGTCAGGTACAAAGATGGCCAGACAGTTGACTAGCACCATGAGGCACAGCGTGATGCACAGGTGGACCAGCCAGGAGAAGGGACGGCCAGGGAACAGCATCAGGGTGATCGCTTTCCTGGCCTGGGGCGGAGAAGGAACAGTTAGACTTACTTAGGTACATACTACTTTAGTACAAATGATTAGTTTTGCAAGCTTGTTTTGCTTGTTAACATGTGGTAACCAAATGGACTTTCAAACACTGTGCGATTTATCTCTGGGCCCAGAATAGTGCTAACCTCTAGGTGATTTGAGGATAGAATATAGTTGGTGAGCTAGGTAAAACATGGATTAGGAAAATGGGCATCTGTAGACTGTATGTAAGTCACAGGAATGAAACTCACAGGGAAGTGCACCACAGGCACTGTGAGGATGACAGCCACCAGCACAGCCAGTCTGCACATCAGGATCACCACATCATGGGGGTTGTATGAGTTATAGCTCTCCAGCAGCTCAGAGTGTACATTACCTGTAGGACACAAGGCGACAACAATTACTAAGCATACTGAATGACATTGTACATGTATGTGGAACACTGGGTAGCATTACACTGAATGATGTGAAATATAATCAAGAGTGCATGTAGCATGTGAAACTTACCATAGAATGTGAGGTAACCAAACAGTGCAGACAGCATGTACAGGATAAATGAGATGCCGATGGAAGTGTTGGCCACGTTCTGCATCCTCCCCACAGTACCCCTGGGCAACAAGCAGGTAATCACAAACATTAGTTAACACACATGTTGTTAACATACTTGTTATCAATCATCTTCAGTCATTCTAGATAAATATATGACCCCAAAGTACATGAAAACATTATCATACTGGGTATGTAGATAAAGCGTAATGTTATGCTGCAATCTCACCTCTTGAGTTCCACATACACAGGAAGGACTGCTGTGTGGCACACAAAGGAGAAGGCCATAGTGGGGAGGGCATAGGCTGTCTGCAAGGGAAATATAAACATGTTCAAAACATCTACAAGAATGCAACAAAAGGTAACAATGTACAACAATGTATGAGTCTTATGAGATAAGAGAATATAGGTTGGAGCCTGCCAATATGCATGCCACTCTCTACTTACTTAGTTTGGCCCTATAAAATCAAAGCATGAAAGACAACAGTCTACAGTCTCACCCTTTCTGTCAGGATGACCATTTTAGCCGTGCAGTCCTGCACAGTTGAGCTGTTCTGCAGTGCCACCATGTGATCTGTAGCGGTACTGTTGATCAGGGGGAACCAAGAGGGATTGCTGGGAAGTGTCACATTGGACCAGTCCTGTAGTGGCACCGGGCAGGGGTAACTGAATTTCTTTGCAACAACCTGAGGAGGAAAGAAGAATACCCATTACAATCAGCATGAACCGACAACTACACATGTATGGATGGTTTATAATGTACAAAACAGTTATATTAAGGGCCAAGAGAAGTTTTTTGGTGCCTGTCCTCCAACCAGTTAATTTCTTGGAAAAGTCCTAACAACTCTTGAAAAAGGCAATTTTAACACTGAAATTAATAAAATTAATGAAGACCTTACCACTGAAGTGAAGAACACCATACAGGCTATAGACAGCCCACTGGTGTAGCCAAGGAACTCTGGAAAGGAAGATGTATTGTTAGTATTACATGTACTTGTCCATATGCTGCAGAGAGTGAAACTCAAAAAATATTCACATAAAGACTTTGGTGTGTGATGTGATGCCCAAAAAAGTTAGGAAAGAAATACAATGTGGCTTTCTGCAAAAACTTGATGTTAGCTTATGCTTACCTATTCTTCTCAGGGCAGCAAGTGGTGCTATAACTAACCCAGCCACCAGTAACAGTAGATAATCTCCATTCAGGTACCAGGCCCTGGTAATACAAACAAAACATAGACATGAATAGTTTCAGAACAAGGAACTTCAACAGGACAACATACTTAATTACTGTGTATTTAATTGTTGATTAACTAATTTAAGTCTTTGTCATTAATTAATGCCTAAAAAACATCATCTATCTGGTTAAGAATTCATCACTATGGATCGGCATCTGGGTGCATTTAAAGCTGTTGTGGCAGTCCACAGGGGCAGTTACACTGACTGAGATATATCTGATATTAATGATTACATGTATGTATGCAGCCCTATGCAGAAATATATTAAATTCCATATGCTAAGACTTAAAATGTCTGTTAGATATTTCAAGGCTTGAAGTCAAACCTAAAAAAAGGATTAGGCCACTCACTGTGCATCAGGTGGGAGCTGCATGAAGGTCCTGATGACAGAGGGAAACTCTGTCTTCACTATAAACAAGTAACTGGACATGGCTGAGGGGAGGTGAGAAAGAAGATATTCTTATTCTTGTTCATAACAACTGTATGGGCATAAAGCTGGGAATGCATTCAAGCACATTATAAAAGTTACACCAATATTGAACATGTGTGCATGACTTATGAATTATACATGACTTCAAAATCGTTGACCCGAGACAAATCACACACCTGCCTTACACAAGATGATTCTCTACAATAGGAACAATAGACTAAGCTCAAGGTGTAAGAAAAAATTAAGGCAAAAATCCAACCAAGCTTGATTTTTGTGCTGTGACAAAATGCTAAGCTAAACATATCAAGTGTGACAGGGCTTATAAAGCAAACAAACCATGGCACAATACATTACTGAGGGTTAAAGCTCAGTTGTCAAAGTGGACAAACATTGCTAAATCTAGTTCTGTAGACAAATGTGACCATAGATCAAAACAAGGCAGACACATACCTCCTATATTTTGAAGTAGAATTGCTCCTGCTGCCAAAAACTGTAGAATAAAGGTTAATGCGTTTCAACATTACAGGAGTGCAGATATTGGCTTCTAATAACATCCAGAATAAATAAAATGTAATAACTTGTGGTGGGAATCAGCGTTCCATACAAGTCTGAAGAGAAATGGTAACTACCTTTCCTGGTCTTCTTAACGCAGCATAGCCGACATCCTCATATGAATTCACTCCTGCAAGCAAGGATATAAAGGTAATTGATACATGTACAAGAGAAACACTGAAATAAAGACTGCTTTTGCTAGTCATTTGTGATATCCCTGAAACATTAGGAAAATACCAACAACATTGACCTGACTACAACTCACCTGATATCTCACACATCCTGAGCAGGAGATGGATGGAATAGCTGGCAGTTACAGCAACCATCATCATCAGGATTCTGCACAGGCACAGTATGAAAAGTTTGTTATGCTGTATAGCACACTGTAAAGCACAGGATATTGTGAGAATGAATCCTGCCCCTGTAGTTAGTGGTGGGGACATCAAACAGCTTTGGAATATGGTCATCAACAGTGTGAGTTAGGAAGAACATCAGCAGGGATCACATTGCCAAATAGCAATTTTACATAAAATAAGCAGCAAATGACTGAAAAAGGTCTCTAAACTAAAGGGCTACTGAAGAAAAGTTCTCAAACCACTTACAGTTAAACCCTGTACATGGACCAGAAACTATTTTCATTTCCTTTCTAAGACATGAATCTAAATTCATTCTGCATGAAATTTCATTCTGCATGAATCACGTGCACTTTGTTGATGACAGGGTCTAAAGACTCACGTGAATAGAACCACCCCACTCTCCGACATGGCGTACGCCAGTCCCAGAATCCCACTGCCTAAGATGGCGTTCATGAGGTTGAAGACCGACATGCCAAACGAGGCCTTCCCCTGCACCTCATGACTGTCGCCCTGTCGCAGACCACCAATACTGGTCTGGATACTGCTTCCCTGTCAACAGATACAACATGTCATTAATAACAAAATATTACAGTACTGCAAAGCAGATTTGATTCCAGTTGGGGTCCTATTGAACTAGGACTTACAGCAGGATATCTTCCCCACGGCAATCTGTGCCTAAACACTGGAAAACAGACACAAAAGTAATATCAAACAAATCAACAATAATGTTACACGTAGTTCCAAGACCTTTTCTTCGCTGCTGTCATGGTTACTGAGAAGAAGTTGGTCTGACTCCTCAGCAGATGCAGACATCGTCTCTGATGGATCTCTTGATAGTTAAAGGAATACTACTTCTTTAAAGTTCTTATGTCTAAACTATGTTAGGCATGTGATGATCAGGATTATCATGTAGTCCTGTAGCAGCGCCACCTGGCGGCTACATTGGATTTTCAACGCAAAAGCCACACGAGCACTTCATGGGACACAGACAAACCGTGTTGGATTTGTCTGCGCGACTTGTCGCTCAAAGGCTCAGAAATAGCTCAGAAACACGTGCCCTTCAAACCCTCATCCCTTGTAGTATTCAGAGCAACATTCCTGAGTTCTGGTACCAAACAAACCGGTCAGGTCACAGGATAGGACGGGCATCATGTGACACAGACACACATGCACATCAAGCGAATTTACAACGGAGCGATAAACAAGTAAACATTGCACTACATTAATGATTAACTACATCCATGCCCTCCTCATGATTACTACATACCCTACGGAAGGCTCCTAGCAGGGGTTCGCGCTCCATGGACGCCGAAGCGCCGTAGAAATAGTCAGAATTGATGGACGTCGCCGCATCTTCCACCGGCACTGTTGCCATCTTGCGGTGTGTGGCGAAAGTTTGCGACAAGCCGACGAATTACGGCATAATTCCCATCATGCCCTCCCCAAGATGTCTGCGCCCATGTGTTTTCCTGGGTTGCATGGAGTTAAAAAACCTCATTGGTTTCTGAAATAAGAATTCTCCACGGTTTTCTTACGTATAGATGCCACTGTCTGGAGGTTTTTTCTACATTAGTCACAGAAACAGAACATTCCTTCGGGCGACGGTTTCGCGATTTTTCTTGATGATGTCTGAGAACCTGTTCACCCCTCCCCCTGGTGTCAGGGGCATGCAAGTTCTGGACAGACAGGCTTTCAATCGGACTGTACAAGTACCAGCGATCAAGGTACTTAAAGTTGCTTTGTGACATGAACGTGGCTATATACACACCCGGTGTGTATATAAAATCTAGTTGTCTTTTATATACACACCCGGTGTGTATATAAAATCTAGTTGTCTTTTATATACACACCCGGTGTGTATATAAAATCTAGTTGTCTTTTATATACACACCCGGAAAGTTGATAGGGCAGACATTCGAATGATCTGTCGCCGGTGGGTTATCCAGAGTCACCAAAGGGACCGGGGCGAACCCCGGGTTGGTCTTGGTCTGATGCACGCCAGACCGTGAGGTCGGCGCTTCTAACGCATGTATTAGCTCTAGAATTACCACAGTTATCCATGTAGGATGTGACGATCAAAGGAACCATAACTGATTTAATGAGCCATTCGCAGTTTCACTGAGACAGTTTAATGCACGTGCATGGCTTAATTGTCTATACTATTACTAAAGTGCGACATTACGTCTTCGGTGGTCTACAAAAGAGAAGTCAAACCCTTCAGACATAGTTTTAGAAATAGCTATAGTATCCTAAGATGTATTACATTTTATTATGTAGATTTTGAAGTTATTCTTTACTCTGTTTCAATGTTCTTTTGTTTATGTCACTTGCAATTAGCCTTTGGCATGAATTTGTTTAAACTTGGTGCCCCTGAATCCTCAAACACTCACAAAAACCCAGGTTTTGGGCCTATCAAGGAGGCTAGTATTTCGGTGTGTATATAAAATCTATTTGTCTTTTATATACACACCCGGTGTGTATATAGCCACGGCGTTGTGACATAGTGGTCTTTTGGATAATTTAACAATATGGTTTTCTTATCGTCCGAATTGTTGCAATGTATTTTGGTAGGATGAAATTTAGTTACTATGCCCCTTTATTAAATGTCACTCAAAGGACCTCCTTGGTCAAACTTTAATAGCCGCGGCGACTGTTGCAGTGCTTCTCTTGCTTGCAGTCTTTTAACTGGCTACTGTAAAAGACTGCAAGCAAGAGAAGCCCTGCAACAGTCGCCGCGGCTAGGTCAAACTCAAAGTACATGTAGTGTAATCAAGGAGGTTTAAACCTCCTTGGTATAATACTGGAAATACGAAAAAAATAGTAGAAATCTAATATGGAATGACAAGGCAATTGCTTAAGTTGTTTCCATAATGTTTGTTTCCAGATACCAACTAAAGCCATTGGTGGACTGCTGAAGCCTCTAAGGAGTATCCTGCTGAAGCGGCCAAACACCAAGAAAATAGTGGACATTCCTGATGACCAGCAGCACAAGGTCCTGCTGTGTGACCCTGGCAAGGTCGTACCTGAGGAAACCCTGACAGGAGAGCACAGGAAACTGCTACAGGAGAATGGGG